TATATATATATATAGAAAAAAAAATTCGTTAAGCAATACTTTGAGGCCAACACTGAAATCAGGTGTTTTCTGTGATGTTCAGGAAATATTCAGTCAGATTTCTGCACCTGTTGAGGTTTGTTGGTTCAATGCATGAGCAAGGTACTTTCATTTGTCTTTAGAAGTATTTTCTAAACAAAAAAATTAAACCAGTATTTTATAAACTGAATATTGATTTAGTAGATTTTTTTTATGTATTATTACTTTTTTCAGTTTTGCATTATTCATATAACTAGTGTTAATGTATCCTTTTTTTAATTGGAGGGTATGTAAACTATGAAGCACAACTGTATATTGTTACCAAGCCTGTTTGGTGCTGCAGAAATGGCCAGATTGCCATTTTTAAAGTGAAAGGTATAAATAGTTTTTTTGTTTTCTTTTGTAACTAGTATTGGTTGATCTTTCAGAGGAGGTCAGAGGTCAGTTAAAGGCTCAGGTTAAGTTTCAGAGGCCTCCTCAGGAGCACAAACTTCTCCAACAAAAAGACAAAATTTCACATCAAGACAAAAGCAGGAACATTTCTAAAAATGTAGAAGCTTTTTACATCCTTTTTTCTTTCTGTTTTTTTTTTTTTCATAAGCATTGAAACCTTTGTGGGAGCTGCTCTAATTCAATAACTTCATGCTGTTTTAAAGTGTCTGTTTTAAAGCTTTATATTTGGGAAAGATTTCTAGTTTCCAAACAACCTGCTTACATCTTGGCGTCCTTCAGATTTTTAATGGTGGAAAAGCTGGATAAAGTCTCATTGTGCAGCATATCTGCTTCTCTGCTGCAATCTTTCTTTTGAAAGATTTTTTACTTTTTCAATTTCCAGATTGCAAACGTGGATAAACTGATTTTACTGAGTGCCTCATAAAATAAATAAACGCTCTCAGATTTCCCGTCCCTGACCACAACCAGGCTGCATGAAGAGAAACTTTGTGTTTGAAAGGAATGTTTCCCTGTTTAGCCTGACAAATGGCAAGGATTTAAAAAGGAATTACAGGTTTCCAAGTGATAGATAATCTTTTTTTTTTATTGGAAAAGTTGATTGTGTACAGCATATTGTTAAAAAACATCGCATTTATTTCATGTTTTATTTTGTTGTGGCCACAATCATTATTGTATTTTATTAGGTTTCAATGCAATAGACCATAAAGTAGCAAATTTTTTTTGGAAACTGATTAAAAAGAGTTTGTTTTTTGGAATTTAAATAAATAAATAAAATACAATTTTAAAACTCTGAAAAGAAAGGTAGATGCCCAGGGTGTCATTGGAAGCACGAAAGAAAACAACATAACATCATCTAAAAACCTTTTCTATTGCATTTATGCATGTGCAGTCGGGGACATTCCCACAGCCTCACTCCCACAGTGTGGCGAACAGACGTCCCACAGTGAAACACGGTCATGGAGGCGTTCTCCATTCTGTCATGTAAAGATGATGAGAATATAAAGGAGCTCAGTGCATCTTGGTGAGCAGTGGGAAAGAAACGTTTTCAGCAATATTCAGATTTATACTAATAAAATTTGAAAGATATTCAGCTTTATTTACCTACAGTCTCAATGAAATAAATGATTGTTAGTGTTTGTAAAGCTCCATTTTCATGAAGTGTAAAGTCTAGCCTTTCCAGGGTGCAAAGGTAAAGAGTAGATAAACCTCTAGAACCTGATCATGAATCTTAAAATCAGGGTAAAAAGTTTCAGCGTAGTATTTCCAAAAATAGATAAATAATATATTATTTCCTCTGACAGATATTGAGGTTTTCCCCTCAAGGCCATAGATCTAACCTGCCTCATCTCTCCCTCAGAGCCCATCTATGTCCCCTTCCTGATGGTGGGAAGCATCTTTATCGCCTTCGTCATCGTTGGCTCCCTGGTGGCGGTCTACTGTTGCACCTGCCTGCGGCCCAAGCAGCCCACCCAGCAGCCCATCCGCTTCTCTTTACGCAGCTGCCAGGGAGAGACCATCCCTATGATCCTGACCACGGCCCCTCCCAGCCTGCGTGCTCCGTCTAGGCAGTCCAGCACGGCCACCACCAGCTCTAGCTCGGCTGGCGGCGGGAGCTCCACTCGGAGGTTTTCTCTGGGGGGTCAGAGCCAGCAGCAGCACGGCTGCCTTGTGTCTGCAGCGGTCTCTTCATCAGCTTCTACCCCTGCTCAGACTCAACAGACTCTACTACCTCCACCGCCACCTCCGCCCTACACATCGCCACCTGCAGCGATAACAGGAGGCTTCCAGCACTCACAGCTGCAGCTGCACCAGGCCTCCATCTCTACGCAGAGCACCAGCTTCCTGCTTCCCCAGCAGTACTTCTTCCCCCTGCAGCCTGACGCCTTCACCGCCACCAAGGGCTTCGCTGACTTTGGCCAGAGCTGACAGGGATCCCAGCAGGGGCCCACTCAGGCTTCTCACCAGAGGGTGGAGCATGAGTCGGTGAAGAAAAACATGGCTGCCGAGCTCGGTGTAAAGGACTGAGGTCGGATCAACAAGCGCACAGAGCAGGCAGACATAAAGTCTGCTCTTTGGGACCATTTTATACATTTTTATAAAAACAGCAGATCTCTGGGGTTAAAATCCTCAAAAAAACATTAAAAATGTCCCAAGTTAATATTGTTCTTTTAATAGAAGTATATTACACAGCAGAATGTAGGACGTTTAAAATGTAAAAAGGACACCTAAAAGTGAAAAGAATTTTCTTATAAAAGAAACAAGGACTTTTTTTTCCTGAGATGATTCTCTAATGTGAGATAATTAAAAGCTGTTTCTTGTCAATTGTGTGGGTGCACTGGTGATGTTTGCCAAGCATTTCTGACCTTTGAACAACTTCAGAAGTTTAAATCATTTCAAATAATTACATAAAAAACTCAGGTATTATAAACACAAAAAATAAAGTAAATACAATTTAATGTCTGTAAAATATTATAAATGCTGCAGTGATAAATTCTAAGCTGATGTTTAACATCAGATACACAAAATAAAAATATTGTTACTTTGGATTTGGAAGGTTTGTCCAGTTTGAACCTCAAACATACCGTTTGTTGTCTTCCCTTCTGAAAAAAAGTCTTGTAGGAAATTTAAAGAGTTTTGAAAAAAGATTTCGAAATCAGCAGTTCTGCTGCATGGAAAATATTCTATAAGTGGAGGAAAAGTAAAACACACCATATGTGGCTGTTTATGCAAGTTCACCATGATAGTAGATTGTAAGATGCTAAAGGAAGTCTCTAGAATCCCTAAAGTGTCATTAATTGACATAAGGTGACTTTTATTTAAGATGAAGGAGGAAATGTTTGTTCTTTGGGGTAAGAAACAGGAAGTTCTGGAAGAACGTAGACAGATCAGGGGTTCTGTGCTGTTCTTTGGGCCATGAAGTCAATCATCATGTATAAGAAGGCACTTGAGGAGAGAGCAGAAGCAGAGCTGGACCCTACCTCACAAAACACACCAACAAATGAAGAAGAATTGGGCTGAGAAATCCATCCATCAATAATCCATCCATCCATCTTCCAGGGCCGGGTTGTGGAGGCAGCAGTCTCATCAGAGATGCCAAGATTTAAGAAATCCACAAACACCTCCTCCAGCTGCTCTGTGGGGACCCTGAGGCAACAGCAGTCCTGCTCAGAGACTGATGTTGGTCCCTCCAGCGCGTCATGGGCCTTCCATGAGGCCTCCTACCAATGGGACATGCCTGGAACACCTCCAGAGGGAGGTGACCAGGAAGGATCTGGAATAGATGCCCGAGCCACCTCTGCTGGCTCCTTTCCACGTAGAGGACCAATGACTCTACTCCGAGCTCCTCCCGGGTATCTGAGCTCCTCACCTGATCTCGAAGTGTGCGTCCAGTCACCCTGCGAAGGAAACTCATTTTGGCTGCTTGTATTCATGATCTTTTCCTTTCAGTCATTACCCAGATCTCATGACCATAGGTCAGAGTGGGAACCTAGATCGATCGATTAATTGGTAGCTTTGCCCCCGGACTTAGCTCCCTCTTCACCACGACGGTCTGATACAGCGACTGCATCACTGCCGACGCCGCACCGATCCGTGTATCGATCTCACGTTCAGTCCGTCCCTCCCTCGTGAGCAAGACCCCAAAATACTTGAACTCCTCAACTTGAGACAAAGATGAAAATTAAGAATGGAAAAAGTCCAGGAGAACAGAAGCTTAGAACTTTACTTTATTTTAAGTGACATGAAATATAAACATGGAATAAAACTGTCAAACATCTCATCTGGAGAAGTGGAGCATACAGTGAAACTGATGGATGGCGAAACAAAGTGTGAAAAGCTTTATGGTAGCTGAGATATCACAACCTGCTTCTTTTCTGTCACAAAAGTAGATCAGAAGGAGGTATTATAAAAGAGCTGAACTTACAATGGGTGGATATAGCTCAGAGCCAACATGGCAGCTCTCTACCTGTAGCTCCTCCTTGCGCCAGACTTCACAGCAGGAATGCAGAGCAAAGATCCATCATTGTCGGTGCTCAACGAGCATGGCCTGGTCACAGTGTTAAAAACAAGCACCTCCAGAAACAGGTTTAGGTTGAATCTGCAGCTATAGGGGAGTCTCCACAAAGAGCTGTCTGTTCCCTGGCTACCTGACTGTGAAACGGATCTGCTGATCGGCATCTCCTGAAAGCTGCCACGGATGTTTGCTGCTGCATACAAAGAGGATACATCAAATTACAGCTTTATCAGTAAAATGCATCTGACAGGATGAGTTTCAGGCTGAACATCTGCAACACATTTCATTCAATGGAAACGGTTATTCATGCATTTGTAGGAGCCCTCACACTGCTTTTGTTTAAAGAGAAAAGTGTGAGTTTTCTGCCTCCTAAATGCCTAAAACATTTTAAGAAAAAAAACATCACCTCCGTTTGTTACAATAAGATCAGGAGCCTATTAGATAGGGTCCTTTAGATTTGCATGGAGTCCAACCCTGTCCTTAGGATTTCCAAGCAGGGGTATTTTTCCAAGTGAAACAAAGTACTTACCACCATGGTTAACAGCAGCCACAATCATCCATCTAAATTATGAAGAGATGAAAAAGAAACCGGGTCTGACTGCTCTGTGGTGAATCAACACTAAATATCACAGACATTTAAGCAACAGACACTAGAAATCTGTAGTTTTTAACAGATTTCTTGGCTGAGTAGCAATCAGATACAGCGATGAATAGTTTCTAAAAATGAAATAATTAAAATATCTTTAGGCATTAAACTGTATAACTGATGATCAAATGCATTTATGGGGAGTTGTCATTTTTCTTATGAAGCAGTAATATTTATCCTTTCTTGCAGCTGCATAATCTCACTCTAATTTTATTTTTAAATCCCAGAGTTGAGTTAATTTATTCCGTAGGTTTGTCAAATTTAGATTTTTTTTGTTGATATTTTGCATTTTTGAGGCGGATCAAACATTACCAAGTAGTAATTTTTCCTTGTAGCTTCAGTCAACATGTGTCTTCCAGTTAGCAGGATAATCTCCATAACAGCCATTAGACACCATCTTGATTCTCACTAGTTGTACAGTGTGCTTTAGTTGGTCATACAGAACAATGCTTGTTTTCCTTTAAAATGCTTTGGGAACCCTGTTGATGCTAATGCTATCATGCATCGTTTAAACACTGTGGATTTTAATTCTAACCTGGTGGCCTCTGTGTGGAGAAAACAAAAACAATAATTTGAATCTAAGGTCTTTTAGGCGTGCAAAGATGCAAATGATGGCAAAAGCAAAACAACAATAATCCATCAAGACACAAACTCAAGCTTGGGTCTTGATGGCAAAAGCAAAACAACAATAATCCATCAAGACACAAACTCAAGCTTGGGTCTTGATGGCAAAAGCAAAACAACAATAATCCATCAAGACACAAACTCAAGCTT